CAATCAGTAAAAAAGTGTCACGTTGACAAAAGACAAAAAGTTCACTGCTTTAGCCCACCGGTGTGTTGAAGCGTGAAGCCACAACATTTACAATTTTTGAGTACGACGTTTCGCTGGTAATTGCATCCAGCATCATCGGGCAATTCGCCAGAAGGAACGATTTTTCTTGAATGGCATAGCAATCCTGAATCGTGCTCGAGTGAATCGAATCATCGGACAGGGGGCAGGTGGGGGGGGGGTGAACTTCCCCTCACTTCGAGTAAACAGTCATGAAGAGGGACCCCGCAGCGTGTGAAATTCTCTCGCTTTTTTTCTGCCGCGGTCGCTTTCCTCCTCTCGCCGCACAGAATCGTTCCAACTCCCCTCGAGTGCGAGCTCCGAGTGGCTCTCCAAGCCCCGCCGGAAGCAAGCGGCACAACCCTCTTCAATTGCAACCGGCACGCATCGTCGTCGTCGTCGTTGTCGTCGTCATCGTCCGCATCGTAGCGACAGCCCGCACAAGGAGGCACGAGAACGATTCCCGCACGGGGAGATTTCCCGACGGGCTCACGGTGCCAGAGGCGACGAATGAAACGGCGCAGGCCTCCGCCTCCTCAATCTCGAACCGCCACCCTCGCTCGGTCACTCGCTCGCTCGCTCGCTCGCTCGGTCGCTCGCTCGGTCGCTCGCTCGCCTGCGTTGTGGACGATCGCGCACAACGGGCGGTGCCGTGAAGCTCCCGCAAAATGCGTCAAAGGCTGCAGGCGAAACGCTCGCACGATGCCCGCCGCTTGTAAAGCGAAAATCTAACAAACAAACATCGCTGAGCATGCGCGCGTGCAAACGCAAGTGCGTGCGTGCGTGCGTGCGTGAAATAAAAAAAAACGGGATTGGCCCGCACCTAATCTCGCGCCGGTTATCTCAAACGCACATTCTTGCCCCGACGCCCCAGTGCTACTAGCGCCAGGGGCTCGGCAAGCCCGCGGCTGCGGAGCCGCGCCCCGGCTCCTTAAGGACCGCCGCTTCGCGACGGTCATTTATCAAGGCCCGCCAGTCTCGCATTCACCCACGTGCATTGTGGCTCTTGCAATATTGAAGATTTTTTAGTTTTATAAATCCTTTATATTAAGTTCGCTTGCTTGCTTGCTTGCTTGCGTGCTTGCGTGCTTGCTTGCTTGCTTACGACCGTGCAAATCTTTCGGTCGTTTTTTAACCCACTTCTCGTGATCCAATCGAGCTGACATTTTCCACACAGACTCGTTGTGCGTGACAATTAATTTTCGTGAAAATGTTTTTCCAAAATTTTACACTTTTTAGGGAATAATTTTAAAATATTGAATTACCAATTGCTTAATGGTGGCAGACAATCATCTGACCCATAGGTGGCAGCCATCTCAAGCCAGAGGACGAGAGGACTCTAGCCGCCACGCATATAAAGGATTTAGAGTGAAAAACTTTGTTTTTACGGGTTAATTTTGTACCGAATTCGCAAGAAATTGCTCTTGTTGTTCACTTTGGCCGCCTACCCCACTGTACCAGTGGGTCGGTCCATCGTTGCGCAATAGCCAGGGACTTAATATCAGCCAGGAGCTGTCCAGGTCTGAACTCCAGAGAGAAAATACACCCCTCCCCCCGCCTCCCCCACAAGGGAGAAGAGAGTGGGGAGGGAGTTTGGGGAATTGGAGGTCGGGGAGCCGCAGAATATACCCCCACGAGAGTTGTTGCACTCGCCACAGCTCTGGACGAGATCGGATGTTTATCGTTAACGCCGCGGTGCAAAGACAAAGTTCCCCCGTGTAGGCTTAACAGACTGTTGGGGCAAGTGCTGTTAGCGAGTCGCACCTACGAAGGCCGATACGGCACACGAGGGGGGCAGGTGGCCAGCACCACGCCCGACCGCCTTTTTCTCCCCAGTGGCGATGTTTACACACCGCACCAGGTACTCATTTGAGGCTGAGTCGACCTAGGGGAGGCCCAGGACCGGCTCAGATAATCGCCACCGGTGTTGGCCGTGAGCGGGAATCGAACTCGGGTTGCCGGGTTCGTAGCGCAGCGTAGCGCTAACCGCTGCACCACCGCTCCACCTACACTACCGCTCCCCACACACACACAGATGCACACACGCGGGTGGCGAGGTGATGTCACGGCGTCATGGTGGATGTCGAGACGAACCACGAAGCCGAATCGCCACGATGATCAACAGGGGACACAAGTGGCGCAGCGTGCTCATGGGATTGGAATTATGTACAGTTACCATCCTTTATTTCGCAGAAATGATTCCAAACCAGACAGAAAAAAAACACCACCACCCCCCCCCCCCCACATCCGCCCCCCCCCGCGGGTAGAGGAAGCTGGCGGTTATCCGGATTGCTACCGGTCACAATCAGAGTCATTGCGCAATGCAAACCCCAAATCTCGTACACAAACACACAAGTGCTGTACGAACACAAACGCGGCCGCGTGCCGCACGCTCACACGTCTTCAGCGTGACGCAACAGAGGGAGGCAGCAGCCGAACGCTGAAACGTTGACGTGACTTCTCTGCGTGCTAATTCACTGTGAAGTCGATTCCACCCCCCCCCCGGCCACCCCCACCCCCCCCGTTATCTACAAAAGGACCAGCGACGAACCACCGCCACTGCTGATCGATCTACCTGTGTAACAACTGGCTCCGCACAGCTGCCGGAGGAGTTGCGCGTTAAAAATGTGAACAACCGTAGCTCTCTCCGTTGTGTTCTTTCGAGTTGAGTGCCGCGGAGGGTTTTTTTATTATCCGAACGACGTTTCCGAAGAAGTTAGTTTCCCAGCACGTGGTTTGCGAAACGTCGGACGTCGGGCTCCGAGAAAACCTACACAGCGGTTAAGCAACCCGCGCCCTTCCGAGCTGCGACTGAGAAACGGAGCTCGAATCGGCGGCGAAGTTTACCGACAGGTGCAGAGGAGCGAGACACCTCAGGGGCGAGCGACTCTCATCCCTCGCCCCTTGCGCTCGCTCGCGCGCGCAATGCCCGTTCCATTCGCGCAGCGAATGTCAGCCCAGGTGCGAACTTTGGAGTCTGGAGAGCCGAGTGTCTAAGGTCGGGGGGGTTGGGGGGGTGGGGGGGGGGCCCTTTTAGCATCTGGCTGCCGTAAAGAGACACGAGCGCTATCCGATCATTCGCTCGTCACCCCCCCACCACCACCACCCCGCCCGCTCTGGAGTGACGTCGCAACTCTTTTTCCGCGGATTCAGTTTTTTTTTGTAGAAATCTCAAACGTGCGTTGGGGTCTGCCGGAGCACATTGCGCATCAGCGCCGGCGGTGACCCCCCCCCCCCCCCCGCCCCGTTGCTTCCCATGCCGCGGAGCCCCATGGCTCTCCGAGCACCGGTGGCCGATCGCAGCTGAGTTTCCCAGCGCCTCTTAACGCCGCGCCTCCAGAGGCAGATTTCGTTAACAATTCACACTGCGCGCGGGAAGGCGCGGCTCGCGTGGAGGGCGGCGGGGTGGGTGGGGGGAGAACGCAGATGGTAACTCGCCTCCGCTTCGTCGAAAAAAAAAGAAAACGCTCGCGATATCTGCTTATCCCATTAATGCACGTGATAAAGTTTTATCTTTTAAAGTTTCGTGGAGCGCTGGGAATCTTTTTTTCTTCTCGAGAAGTCTCCTCCGTGGGGAGAATCCGCGATGATTCCGTCCAATGTTTTATATACACACAAACGCACGCACGTGTGTGCGTACAGATACAATCCACGCACACTATTTTATATATATATCGCACGCACATATGATAAGTAATATTTTTTTCTTTGTAAATTCACTGCTGGATGAATGTCTCCATTATGCCGCGTCCTCGGTGGCCTAGCTAGCGAGTGCGCAGGCGGTGCAACTGCGCCGGGAGGCAGTGGGTGGGGGGGGGGGGGGCCGGGCCACCGGGCTACATTTGACAGGGGGCTCTGTTTCATCGCTTGCACCAGGACCCACGGCAACTACGTGACGTCGTTTGACCATACTTCACCACGGGGGAAATGACCCAGGACCGGTCCGGATCGCACTCGGCACCGACGCGACCCACGGGCGGGAATTGAACTCGTGGGTCGACGGTTTCCACAAAGCGTGCATGCAACACGCACACGTATTTATCTCGTCGGCGCGTTAAACACAAAGGTGGCTAAAAAAAAGGACACAGGTGGTGACACCTGCGCACAGGGCCAATGCCGTAGTGGCAAAACGAGGCCCTGATCACTTGAGGCCTGTTTCAATGCCCGCGTGGATTTTTCTCCGGCTCCTCCGGTTTGCTACCTCCACGTTTAGAATCGGCGTCCCGCGTTCAGAGGTGATTGGCTGCTGTAAATGTCCACGCGATGATAGGCCGCATCTTTGAAACTATCATCAGTGATGGCCAGGTCGCTTCTGACAAAGAGCTCTATTGCTCAGTGGGCCTTTCCTGGTAAAAATAAATGTTGGATGTAAAAACATATGGGCAGGGGCTTTTTCGGCAGCAATGTTCATTGCAGCGAACGACCTCCGCTGCTCTAGTCCGAGAAAGAGTGTCAAGCCCCCCCGCCCCCAGTACCCCCCCCCCCCCGCCCCCGTTATGAACTTTTACTGTGGAAAAACTCTGCAACCACTCTTTAGAGACACGTGGCCATGCAAAACATCCTCTCTCTAAGTAACCTTTGTATTTTTAAGCGTCCGAGCGACTGTGAATGTTTCAAACAAGGCCTACGCAACCCCGCACGAAGTACACGATAAACGAACGGGGACACACGGGCGGATTTTATAACGCACGCCAACTGAGGTTGCGAGCGTCCACGCGTCGCATCCGTCCGTGATGATCCACCGTGAGTTTAAGTTGTGCAGCTGCAATGCTATCGGGGACTGAAAACCGGACAGATCGATCGAAGGTTCACACACCAAAACGGGGACACACGAACCGGAGTGGAAAAAGGCACAATTTGCAAGCGTGTTTTGCATCGACGGCTTCCGTGCCGCGAATTTGCTTCCTCATGGAGCCCGACCGCAGCGTTGTGAACCCACGCACCTTCAACTCGCGGAAGAAGACACTGCTCCTCGCCCACTCGACCAGCGTGAACAGCGTCTGGTCGGCCATCTTGCACATGAGGGCGAACGCCGAGGGGTGGTCGGCGCGGGGCAGGTGGTGGTGGTGGTGGTGCGACGCCAACCCCGCGCCCGCGTGCCGCGCCCGGCCGACGGCGCCCGCCCCGGCGAAGGCGTTGAGACAGCCGGCGCCAGGCCCCAAACCCGCGACTCCTCCGCCGACCCCGCCGCCGACTCCCCACTCGTCCTGCTGCAGCTGCGCTGTGACGCGCGCCCGCGTCGTCTCCTCGTCCGGCTCGCACCGCATCAGCTCGGCGAGCAACTGCGGCACCGCGGCGTCCGGCGGCGGCGCCCGCGGCGCCGGCAGCGGTGGCGCCAGCAGCGGTGAAGCGCCGCTCCCCGCCGCGCTCGGGTAGCCGGGGGAAGCGCCGACGCCGGGGTAGGACGGCGACACCGTGGCGCCCGGGTAGGCGGGCGACGCAGCCAGCCCGGCGCAGCCCGGCGAGACGCGCAGGACCGGGTAGACGGGCGAGTCGGCGGCGTGGTCGTGTACGCCGTACGGGTCGGCGTGGCGCTCTATCGGCGAGTAGCCGGGCACGCCCGACGACAGGTACGCGTCCGGCGAGCCGTCGGCGTACGGGTCACCGTGCTCCGACTTGATGCCGCGGCTGACGTACGCCGCGGGATAGGAGCACGGCAGCGGCACGCCGCCCGGCGACTCCGTGAACTGACCCCGGTGCTCGAACTCCGACTGCGGGCCGGCCGACGGGGGCGCCGCCGCCACCGCCGGGAAAGCGTAGCCGCACCGCGCCGAGCCGTGGCCGTACGACAGCGGCGTCACGCTCGCCGACTGCTCAAAGTCATCGTGCTGGTGGTGGTGGTGCTGGTGGTGGTGCTGGTGGTGGTTGTGGTGCTGCTGCTGCTGCTGCTGTTGCTGCTGGTGGTGGTGGTGGTGCTGGTGGTGCTGGTGGTGCTGGTGGTGGTTGTGGTTCTGGTGGTGGTGCAGCTGGCGGTAGGTGGTGGTTGGCCTGCTCCGGCGACGTCTCCATCTTGAGGATGCCAGGGCCGCTCGTGGCACGGATGATCGCCTTCTTCTGCTGCTTGAGGGCCCGGTCGCGCTTGTACATGGGGCCGAACTTGTTCCTCCCGCCGCGCATGCGGTCGGCTCGCACGGCTGGCGGGAACAACAAAAAGGCCAACCGTGAGCGGGGAGAGGCCGAGGGGGAGGGGGGGCGATGATCGATCGGTTTCAGCCGCGTGGCGCGTGGCGGGAATCCATTAGATTTAAACCGATTTTGAACGCGATGCGTGCGATGTCACGCAAACGCTGTCATGTGCCATACACGATTGGGGGGGGGGGGGGGGGGCCTCGAGCTGCAACGCATTTTTATGGCTGCTCTGGGGCTGCATATCTACGCCGTTACAAAGCACACGCACACTCCATCTGCACGGACTCCCATAGGGTGGCTGCGTGCGTGCGCGTTGCAACCGAGAAAAAAGAAGAATGTTGTTCTCGCGGGTTTCAATGCGAAATGAAACTCGACAAACTTGTGTTGCGCCGCGATAATGACGATCGCAGATGCAAACACACAGCGGAGGCAGATATGAAACGCTGCTTCACGTCGCACAACTCCATTCAACCGCAATCCCCCATCCCCTCCCTCCTCCGCCCACCACACTCAATCCTAAATCGTTCGTCTTGGCCCCCGCTCGTACCACGAAACGTTGGCTCCCGCGCTGCGCCGCGCGGTTCGTGGGAATTGGGCCTCTTCGTTTGCGCGATTTCAAATGTGCTCATCCTACGGCCCCCCAGGGGGGGGAGGCGGGAGGGAGGGGGCGGGGGGTGGCAAGAATTTATTTGGCCCGAAGCGTCCGTCTCTGCTGCTGCTCGCAGGTGCCGGTCGGCAGCCATCGCAGAGACTCTCCGGGCAAAAAACGACCGAGCGCTACCCCCAGCCAGGGACCTCGCGCGCCTAAAACTTCCCCAACCGGCGGCATTCGCTTCCCTTGCTGTGGTTCACCACGCTCGCTGGCGGCTTCGCAGCGCGGGTGGTTAGGCTCGCGATTGGTTTTGTTTTGGGTTTGATCGTGGCGGAGGTGCGGACGGCGATTTTTTAAGCGATAGCCACCGCCGCCCGACGGAGCTAATCTGGCGAGAGCTGAGCTGCCGGCAACAGCTGATTATGATGATGATGCTGCTGCTGTTACTCGGTGTAATCGCCGGTGAAATGTCTACGCATGGAATTGACAAAAAACCTTGCGCTTTTTTATATTCCTCCAAATGTATTGGCATATTTTTGCCCATCATGTGACAACTTCATTTGTTTGGCTCGGTCGGGTGGCGGAGGGTTTAGGACAAAGTTTTGCAAGACCTACCCCAAATAAAATAAAAAAACATTATGAATGATACATAATATTGGTCGTGAAAGCATACATGTAAAATGTAAACTAAATGTGAATGGATTGTTTGCTATTCAGTGTCGATAAATGGAAATATGTTTGTGTGTGTTTTTTTTAAGAAACGCATTTGACAAATTGTCAGTGTTGACAATTTGTCAACTGCATCCAAGGGCCCCACAGTGTGCAGTACGATCTCCAACTGCATGTCGGCCAATGATCCTGCCAATTTCTCTCACAAAGGGTAATTTGCCAAAACGTCAGCCTATGTATTTTCCTAATTCTATGATAAGTACACACACAACAGCACACACAGATACACACACGTGCAGTAGCATGTGCACACGCTCACTAACACTCACACACACTCACACCTACCAGACAATGAGACTCACCCGCAACTTTTTCTTTGCAATACAGCAAAAAAATAGATAATCCAGAGACTGTGTTATTTGTCCTAGCAGAAGCACTGCCTTAATAATAACAATAACAATATTTTTTTAAATACAGAAATTATTGTCCTCCATACATGTGCTTTGGAAACAGACCTCAGCATATCGAGAACATTTCACAAATTATGAAAACGAATGCCTACGTGCTGCAAGAGAGAGCATGTTTGTTTAGGCTGGATGACGTGTGTGCGAGGGTGTATGTGCGTGCCTGTGTGTGCCTGCATGCATGTTGGGAGCGGTAGTGTAGCAGTTATCGCAATGCACTTCAAACCCGGCGACCTGAGTTTGATTCCTGCTCACAGTCATCAACACCAGTGACGATTATCTGAACCGGTCATGGGCCTCCCCTATGTCCACTCAGCCTCAAATGAGTACCTAGTGCGGTGTGTAAACATCACCAATGGGGAGACAAAGGCGGCCGGGCGTGGTGTTGGCCAGCCAACCCCCTCGTGTGCCATGCGGGCCTTCATAGGCGCTAATTGCTAATAGCACTTGCCCCAACAGTCTGTTCACGCTACACGGGGGATCTTTGTCTCTGTGCTACACGTGGTCTCGGCAATTGGTGAATAGCACGCAGAGGCCTCGGCGCCGAGTGCTTTCGTGCAACGCGCACACTCGGCACACACACAAAGCGGCGGAGCGAGGTGTTGGGGGGGCGGAGGGGGGGGGTCTGTGCAGTGGGGGGGGGGGGGGCACAGCTTCATCATCGCCGTGTCGAGGTCCCGGCACAATCGGGCACTCACGCTAAATTAATTAACGGCCGGACAGAAAGGAGTGTCTCTGCATTAACGCAGCTTCACAAAACGATAGGGTTTTTTTGTTTGCTTGTTAGGAGCCGATATTAACTGACCGCGAGCGGGAATGTGGGGGGGGGAGGTGACGTGGAGACTCCAAATAATGACGCTGAAAAACTCACATTTGTATAGGAGAATAATTGGCAAAGCTTTTGTGCCATGGATTGTATTTATATAAATGTGTGTGTATTTAAACCGAGCCGTATTTACACACGTATAAAGAGGGTTTGTAATAATGCCAACCAAAGCATTACCTTACGTCTGATGACACACTCTGGCTGAATGGCTCTCAGGAAACTCGCTATTGCCGACGCTGAACCCAAGTGGCCGGCACGGATCCCAGCACTAACGGCTCCTCTGTTGCTCCATCTCCTCATGCTGCTCCCACAGTCTGGAAATTTCTCCCCCTCTGTCTCTCTCCCCCTTGTTACCTGCACCCTTAATTCCACACTGCTCCATTTTGGAATTTCTCCTCCTCACCACCATCGTCTATTTCAGGCAACTTTCTATTCTAATTCTATTTACGATTCATATAGCGATAATAATAACAACAACAATAATAACCCTGCTCAAGTCAAGGAACGTGTTTAATTATTTTATCCCACGCGCTTTCACGGTGCTGTTTGATTCCGGCCACTTGTCGTTTCATTGACACCTTTTTGGAGCTGTGGTCCAGCAAACCGCGCTATCCATTTATTTCTGAATCATAAACTTGTAAATGCTGTGGGTTTGCTCCCCAGCACACCGGCGGTGTGTGTGCCCAAGTAGAAACTCATTGGCCACGCATTGTGTACACGCCACACCTCACCAATTGGCTGTGTCGGGTGGAGGTGCCGGGTTAACGACACATTTACATTTACGCGATCTCACCCGAAATATAAACCTCTACTCCGCATAAACTTGCGACCGATGTTTACACATATATATAGGGCGTGTAAAGCAACAACGCCCGAGTTGAGCCAGAGAGAGAGCGACAGTGCTCACCTTCCAGCTTCATGCCCACGCTGAGACACTTCTGGAAGCGGCAGTAGGGGCAGCGCTTGCGCTGCGTCTTGTCGATGGGGCAGCTCTGGCTCTCGATGCACGTGTAGCGCTTGTTGTTCTGCACCGTGCGCTTGAAGAAGCCCTGCAGGCGCGTGCGTACCAAGACAAGGCAAAGATCACCCGTGTAGCCTTGACAGACTTTTAACAGACCATACGAAAGAAGGACAGACTTTTGGGGCAAGTGCTGTTAGCGAGCACCTCTGAATGGCTGGCATGGCCAACACCACGCCCAGCTGCCTTTGTCTCCTGATGTTTACATAGGTACTCATTTCAGGCTGAGTCGACCTCGGGGAGGCCCAGGACCAGTTCAGATAATCGGCACTGGTGTTGGCCGAATCGAACTCGGGTTCGATGCACGGTTGGCTACGCTCGGTGCGAAAGGAATGCAACATGCATGCAAACATTCATAGGGCATCGTGCTAACCACTACACTACCACTCCCTCACGAACCCATCAGCCACACGTCACCACTGCCCACACTTACACACACACGCACACACATACGCACACACGTAGGTAAGCGAGATAATGTATCTCCGCAATCGATAAATCAATCAGCGAGTGAACTTTCCTTTGCAGGTCACAGCACATTGAGACAGTGGGCCTCTATTACAAGAAATGCCTGGGGTGCAAAATATATAAATATCCACTCTTTATTACGAGAAACTCTACACATTTTTAAAGTAAATGATATCAATATGGATGTGTGCATATTGTTTTGTTTATCTTAACAAAAGAACAGATGTGTTGTAAAGGAAACCCGGGTGTATGTGTTGTTGTTGGTGTTGTCACTGGTGCACAGGTGTGTCGAGTTAGCCAATGGTCACAGGTGTTTCACAGAGGCCATGGGTCTGCTTTATCGGTGCATACGGGTGCCTAGGCATGTTTGTAGAAACCATAGACTGACACGGGTGGTACAGATGTATCACTGAGACTTTCACAGGTACACAATAGACAGCTGTCACAGGTGTTTCATAGAAACTGTTGCATGTACAGATAAATATGTTGTGGAGGCTTGTAAAGCTAAGCAAATCAGTGGGTACTGGTGTGTTCTAGAGGGTACAGGTGTGCTGTGTCAGTGTATACAGGTGGACAGGCCGCCCTGTAGAGACCCACACAGGTATCCAGGTGTGTGTCGTGCAGGCTGTAGGTGTGCTGTGTCAGCGTATACAGGTGGACGGGCCGCCCTGTAGAGGCCCACACAGGTGTCCAGGTGTGTGTCGTGCAGGCTGTAGGTGTGCTGTGTCAGTGTATACAGGTGGACGGGCCGCCCTGTAGAGACCCACACAGGTGTCCATGTGTGTGTCGTGCAGGCTGTAGGTGTGCTGTGTCAGTGTATACAGGTAGACGGGCCGCCCTGTAGAGGCCCACACAGGTGTCCAGGTATGTGTCGTGCAGGCTGTAGGTGTGCTGTGTCAGTGTATACAGGTGGACGGGCCGCCCTGTAGAGACCCACACAGGTGTCCATGTGTGTGTCGTGCAGGCTGTAGGTGTGCTGTGTCAGTGTATACAGGTAGACGGGCCGCCCTGTAGAGGCCCACACAGGTGTCCAGGTGTGTGTGCGCACCTTGCAGCTCTCGCAGGTGAGCAGGCCGTAGTGGTACCCCGACACTTTGTCCCCGCACACCGGGCACAGCTCGTCCAGCTCCTCCTCGTAGGGGAACTCGCGCACCTTGTGCCCCTCGCCTGCGTGGGCGCGCACGCAAACACAGAGGCGAAGATCCCCCAGGTGGCCTGCATTATTAGACTGTTGGGGCAAGTGCCGCGGTTGGCGAGCGCCTGTTGAGTCCCGGGCGATTGCGCTCGAGGGAGGGGTGGGAGTGGCCGGCTGCCTTTGTCTCCCCCAAGGTACTCATTTCGGACTGACACACTCACACGCGCGTACATATACACACAGACACACACAGACTCCCAAGTGGCAGGCTAGGTGCGCTTGCACGCCTCTACACCACAAAGATAAACACACACACGCGTGCACGTGTCGACATACCGATGTAGTGTTGAGAAATATTCTCAAAGTTGAGCACGTGTAAAAAACACGTGATAATAATTGTCCTTTGTTAATCCACTGCTGGATGAATGCCTCGCTACGCTGCGTCGGTCGTGGGGGTTGTTTTGACCATACTTCGCCACGCTGGTCGGTGCGGGTTGCTTAAGGGGGCGAGACTAGGATCGGTTCAGATGTCTTGCGACACTGATGGCAACCTCGGCTGGGAATTGAACTCAGGTGGCTGGGTTCATAGTGCAGCGCAACAGATAAACCACCAAACCGCTGCTACCCTGATAGCCTAGCCAAAGTTATATTAATAATAAAATCAACGCTTACTCAGACTCACAAGTCTCACAAACTCTGGGCCTGACTCACTCACTCGTGGCATAGTTTGCAGATTTCACAGGGACATTATTTACATATTCAACACATGCCACGTGCCTATATTTGATCCTTAGAAAGGTCTTACGGAGTTTCAGGACTTTTTTTGTTAATGTCAGCAGGGTTCTGTGCTAAACTGGGATGTGTTGGCCAGTTGCATTCAATGAGAGTTTTGGCTTGGAGTGGGAAGTAATCCGGACTACCCTGGGAAAACCCAGAACACTTATAGAACAGCATAAACACTCAATTCTCTGCCCAGACAGATTCAAATATCATTTGTTGCGCTGCAATCGCCTGACTGCCTCGCTACTCAAGGCTACAAATGCCTGCCAACTTTCAGGCAGTATCCAATGCGAGTAGCGCTGAATCCCAACCAGGCTCAAACCTGCTTAGCGTCCTAGTGCCCTGCGGAATGGCCACATACAGGGTGCGTTGATTCAAGGTAACGTGCAGAAGAGCGCTGCGGGAGGGTTGATGATGACGATGATCATAATCACGATGACGACGATGATCGTGACTTTAACTTATTTTGTATGGCCGATATTGCTGGAAAGCATCAGCGACAAATTTTGCATCGAGGTGGTTGAGGAGTGGCAGCGTGGATTGGCCACGATGACGCCTCCTTCGTCGTGAACGACTACACTTCTGCAGGGGCCACGGCTTCGACGAAGAGGCTCTATGAAGGTGCGAGTTGGTAGTGAAGACTAATCCCGTGGGATGTGGCACGGAGGGAGAAGATCAGAGGAAGGGGAGACAGTCGGGGAGGGGTGGCGGGAGGGACTAGACGGTTTAATTGCGGTGATATTTCTCACATTACCATCACTCACCGGCCCAAATCCCAACCCACTCTCTCTCTCTCTCTCCCGGGTAACCCCCCCACCCCCCCCGCCCATCTCCCATCAGAGCCCCCCCCCCCAATTCCCCAGCAACACTTCCATCCAGTTTCAGCGTATCAACCGAAACTTGGTAAATATGGGAAGTGCCTGACCGCACGGGTTTTTGGGACTCCGAGATAGCGTGGGCAATTTTTGTAAAAGAATAACTCTGACCGCAAACAACCGTGTGACGAGTTGCACCCCACTCCCATCCCCCTCCTCCTCCACGTGGTAAGCACGTTTAAATTATCAACGCGTGCCTCGGTGACCTGCCATTAACCTCATCAGGGGCGGCTGAGGGCAAAAACGCTCCTTGTATCCGCATGTGCCTGCCTCCCCGACGGCGCTGTTTGACCATACTTCACCACGTCGGTGCGGGCGGGTTGGCTACGGTGAGGCCAAACAACCCGTTCGAATATCGCTCGCTACTTATCTGCGCCGTGGCCAGGAACCTAAACAATAAACGAAGAGATGTTTATTATTTTAACCAGGTGTAAGCCCCCCCCCCCCCCCCCACTGAGCTGCGTGGCTCTTTTTCAGAAGCGACCTTTGCTATCGCAAAATGAGAGCTCACCGAAGTGGCTCGTCATTGCGTGGACATTTATCGAAGGCAAATACTCAATATAAACCGAGCTCAGATTCGCCCGCCGGGTTCACAGCGCGATGCACCACCACACCACCACCACCATCACCGCCTTGTCTAGCTATGTACCACAAGCTGCCACGGTGGACCACGCCTGGACTTACAATCCAGAGATCGACGGTTAGATGTGTCCATCGGCGGTGAGTCGGCAAGTCACGAGTGGGTGGGTGTACGATATTCGAGTACTCCCACTCCCTCTCTAAGATGTCTGTTGGTCAACGTGGGAGCGCTGACCAACTGTCCCCGAGGGCTTCTCTAGAACTCTGTCCCTCTAGAGTCTAGCCGGAGGACCTTCCGCTGGCAGTGGTGTGCACAATTTAGCTGTTAAATGTGGTGCCTGGGCACCGTGTAAACAAGTCACTCTGTGCACGTATTGAACTTTTCGTCAAAGATTCGGCTGATTGGGAGGAAGTTACGGGGGGGGGGGGAGGTGTGTGGGTTTGAGGCAGCCAGTAACACGTGTCAACTTTCCCTGGTGGAAGAACTGACACTGCGGGGGAAAATGCCAAGTGTTGGCTTATCAACCTGTCCGCCGGGCGTGTTTGCTCGGCAAACATTCGCGCGGCGCGGAGGAGGAGACGCAGCAGCAGCCGCATTTGTGATGAAGAACCTTCACTGGGCACAATTCTGGCAAATAGCCTGATGAAGTCGGATGTAATCACCAGCGAAACGTCGTACTCAGATTGTAAATGTCGTGGGTGTACTCTCCGACACACCGGTGCGTGCTGCAGTAGTAACTAATTCATCTTCTTGGTTCTTTCGGTAAAGTCACGTAGAATGGAAATAATAAAATATTAAAATAAAACATAATTAAATAAAATTCTCACGACGTTTCGGCCACAACGCAAGCAGCCGTCCTCAGGTGAAGAACAGGGCTGTCGGAAAGACAGCGTCCGAAACGTCGTGAGAATTTTATTTCATTATGTTTTATTTTTATTGTTTTATTATTTCGGACGCTGTCTTTCCGACAGACCTGTTCTTCACCTGAGGACAGCTGCTTGCGTTGTGGCCGAAACGTCGTGAGAATTTTATTTTAATTATGTTTTATTTTAATATTTTATTATTTCCATTCTACGTGACTTTACCGAAAAAACCAAGAAGATTAATCCCTGCAGTCACGAAAGTTTTAAATAGTAACTAATTGGCACGTTTTGTTTACGTGACAAACCTTACTAATTGGCTGTGTCGGGTGGTGATGGATTAACGAGACATTTATATTGACGCGATCTAAGTATGTGAAAAAAGCGTTATTAGGGTTAATAGAGCCTCGGACGACTGGTTCTTTCTAGGGGGCAGCGTTATGGGTATTCTCCGTAACTCCACATCATCGTCATCAGCCGTGATCAATCCACTGCTGGATGAGAGCCTCCCCACCATCCTGCGATGTCAATAATCCACATCGCAGATTCGTATCTCCACACGAACATCTCCTAGCCACCGTGGGGCGCCATGGTGGCTAGGAGATGTTAACTACCTCGCCTGGTATACAGGAGGTCGTGGGTTCGATCCCAACCCTGACGCCTGCTGTATATGTTGAGTTTGCATGTTCTGTCTCCTCGTGCTAGCGTGGATTTTTCTCCGGGTTTTCCCTCCCCATTTAGAAACGTGCGTTCAGAGTATTTGGCTGCTATAAATCTCCACGTGACAAGCCGCTTCGTTGGGCTGTCATTTGTGAGAGCCAGGTCACTTCTGAAAAAATAGCTACATGGCTCAATGGGCCTTACCTGATTTAAAGCTTTCGTGACTGCAGGCATTCATCTTCTTGGTTCTTTCGGTAAAGTCACGTAGAAGGGGGGAAAAAAACATAAGAATTGTATTTTATTATGTTTTATTTTTATTATTTTATTATTTCCCTTCTACGTGACTTTACCGAAAGAACCAAGAATATGGACCTTACCTGCTAAAATAAATAGTTTCTATAGTTTAATAGTTTTTATTATTAATGTGTTGGTATCCAAGGGTGTATAAATGAATGTGCAGCCCTGCAGATGCTTGCTTATGACACTGTTGATGGACGGACCTCCATACGAGAGAGCACTCCAGGGAGGGTCCCGAGAGCTCCAGTATCTTGGCCGATGTTGTCACGACCACCAGATGTCTTGGACGAGATGGGAGGGACCCACTCTCCATTTGTACGCCCGTTCATACCGCCGTGGGTAGACCCAGAGGCGAACTCTCTGGCTTTCATATTCTTTGGGTCGTTCAGTAAAAATCGGTAAAATCACGGAGATAGGTTCAAAGTGACTTTACCGAAAGACCCAAAGAATATGAATTCCTGCAGTCACGAAAGCTTTAAGTCAAGATTCAAACTCCGGGCTTGTAAGTCCAGTGGGCTCGCCGCTCCACCAAGGAAGCATTCCGTTACATTGTTTTACTTTATTACGCACAACTATTGCGTACCGATAATTTTATTCCCAAACGCTTCACAATCGTGCAGATTTTCTTGGCAACTGTGTACGAGATTAAAATGTGAAACGTCCCGAAAAGTTGTGGATTTTCGCAACATTAAAAATATTTAAACAAAGTGCACAATAATTCAGAAGCAGAAAATATATTCATACTGCAAAAATCCGATGAGCTATGAAGCTCTATTTCATAAATGTCCAGCCCTTCGTCAACCCTCTGCGGGATTAAGGCCTCTCCCGACGCCGTGTCATTCCTGGGGGTTGTTTGACCATACTTCACCACGGCTGCTCGATGCAGGCGGGCGAAGGGTAACGGTAAACCCCAAGCACCGGTTTAGACTTCACCTGCCAGCCGATGTAAGCCGCGACTCGAACGTCGGTGAAGAGAGGTG